GGCAAAAGAATAGTAGCTAGTTATGATGATGGTGATGTGTCATCACATTGATTCTAACTTACTGTAACCTTCCTGCAGTTTTCTTGTATCAAATACCAAATAGTGGTTTAGCAGTCCTTCCTTCTAGTGGTGCTCTGGGACTATGGAGCTTGCTCAAAGCCACATAGATGTCAGGTCACATAATCTCATCAGCCACACATATTGCCAATTCGGGCTGGCCCCTCTTCCATATGGCACAGTGAGGATTTGAGCTTCTAGTCCATGGCTATGTAGCCATGTACTCCCTCCAACCCGTTATCATCAACCCACATTTAGGTTTCGTTGAGTAAAAAGAGGCCAAGATACTGCAACTGTAAGGTGCTAGGGGTCTCAAATAAGAACCCATAGCAGCAAGACCTCAAGTTCTTCCTTTCAGCACTACTACAATGCATTGATGGCTTATCTGCTCTCTGCTGTGCTTCCAGGCTGCTATCAGCACCACAGATTCAACAGTATCATGTGGCCAAATGAACCAATGTGACTGATCTTGCTGCATCAGATTGTTTATCTTAACCATAGTTAGTACAGAGCAACCTTCCACCCAGAGTGCTTTATTTTCGCTTCTTTGGGTCAGTCAGTCAGTGTCATATACAGCAATATCTAGTCATCTCAAACTAGTGCAACTTATCCCATTAGGATCAGGCAGCACCTTAATGGAAAGGCTCATTATGCCAATGGAGCATGACATTTTAATTCAGGCTCTGCCTCAGGAGGTTTAGCCTATGCCTTTGTGTGAGTGAATGTGACACAGGACAATACCTTTGTCAACTGGATTTCACGATTACAAGATCTGCACTGCCACTGGTCTTATATGAGAACCCACGAGTATGAATTTCCCCATGGCACAATATCCTTGGCTGCACTTACCCTCTTTCCTACAAATTCTACTCACATTTTAAAAAGACAAGTTTGTAGGGAACTGTCCTCATCTCTATAACAAGCAAACAGACACCTACATCTATGGCACATCTCAAATCTCTGTCTCAGGCATGCTTGTGGATAGTTTCACATTGTCATTTCACATTTTATGTGCTTGTCTGGTGCTAAGGAACAGAGCCTTTTTGTTAGGGAACAGGTCTGAAAATCTGAGAGAACAGTAATTTTTAAAGACATTAACCCTTCTCTACCAGCCTCTCATGTCTGCTGCAAAGAGGCTTTAACTCAAAAAAGTGTAGGGGGCCAGTATAATGTTGCTCCCATCTTGCTCCTTTGGAATTCAGACAAATAGTAGGACTGCATGTAGAATCACCATAAAAGAAGTTCAGTATTAGATGCTATACTCTGAATGAACCCTTTCACCTGACTCTAATCTTCCCTAAAGATTATCTCAAGCACTGTATCTTCTTATATTAGCTTGCTTAGGTTTTAAGATCTTTGAGGGAAAGCCTGCAAATTAACCTACAAAGGTCAGTTTAATTTTTAAAAGACATAATTTCCCTAAACATACTTATTTATTTTATTTCTATCTTGATGTTTCTCTAAGTTGCTCAAACTAGTATATGTGGTCCTCCCCACTTTTATCTTGATGCCAACCCTGTGAGGTAAGTTAGGCTGAGACAGAATAACTAGCCCAACATCATGGAAGAGAAGAAATTTGAAGCCAAGTCTCCTGGGTGTTTCTAAGCTACACCCACCTTGTGGAGGTATAGTGGCTCCATAATTTTGTGCATAACTCTATTTCAAGTTGTTGGACTGAAAAAAAAAGAGAGAAGTATATGTATTGGCAGCAGCATTTATATATTTTCTATATACTTTAGAGCAAGGAAGTTTCTAAACTAACTGCAGTGAACTGTATTTGTCAGTGAGGCAAAGTAATTACATGCCAGTAATAAATTGTGGAAATTGCTACATACACATCTGCCAGCAGTTTTTGAATCAGCTGCACAATCAGCAAATTGCTACTCCAAAAAGAGACCATATTGGTTGGTCAGTGCCCATGGGCCATGGCTCAGGTTATAAGTTGAGTCATAGTAGCTGGCGATGCTCTTTGAATGGATATCAAGACATTTGAAATTGGCCCAGTGTCCCCTTGCCCCCGCACAAATAAATATTTTGGTTATTTGCAAATAACAAGATTAAATAATTAACCTATTTTATAAAATCAAGATATTGGAATAAGGGTTAACAATAACAAATAGCAATGATACAACTTGTGTCTTAATTAGTATGTTTAACATCTGTTTGTATTTATTCCATAGCAACTCCCACTCTGTTCTATGGGTAAGTACTGCAGCCTTAAGGTGCTTTATACAAGGAAGGCTTGCAGTTCTCTCTTCTACCCTGTAATCCCTGAGAACCATCTCCAGAGAGAAGAAGGGCTCCTGAACAATGTGGGAAGGGCTATAGCGCAGGCACTATTGGCAACAAATTGTGCCTCCTTCTTTAGGTACATGGAATATTACCTCAATACCTGTGCCTTCCAGTATTTCCCCTCCCAGGATAATCCCTTTGTTCCCTTTAGCAAGTGTAAGAGCAATTCTGTCATGTTGTGAAGGGCCACCAACATTTCCTTGCCCTGCATGCCTAAAAACATAATTTTAAAAATTGTTGTGTGGCCACTACAGGATACAAGTAGGTCTTTTTCCATTTAAAAAAAGCAACAATCTGTTTTGATAGGGGGGAAAAGGTAGGGATAGCAGGGACAAGCCTCTAAGGTTCAGGAATTGGTATTTGTGGCCCCAGACCTCTGGCGATAATGTGCAGGGGCATTAATTTCTGATAAAATATAACAACTCTGAAGCTTTATTTGACAAAACCTTTCATGGACTGCACTCCACCTCTGCAGATGCATAGAGTGTAGCCTCAATAGACACTTGAGCGTAACCTACTGACATCCCACCCTGCATGTGAAGATGTAAGCTACAGTCTTTAAAACATTTTAGCCTTTGACATGCCAGAAGAATCCCATTGTTTTTGCTGCAACACATTAGCACTGCTAATTCCCCTTTGGAATTTGTTAAGGTTGGGATCCTACCCATAGCTGTCTGGGAGCAAGGTCCACCAAGAATAGTGGGATCCCAGCTGATTTGATGCTCGTTTCTCTCCCAGAAGCTCCCACATTCCATCCCCTGCAATACCATAGAGGATGAAGGTCCGAGTTCGGGCAGTTAATTGTAGTTCTACGTATTGAGGAAAAAAACCACAGAAAAACAGTGAGACTTTCCAATTTAAAGGATGCTCGTAACCAAATTCACATAAACCATAAAGGAAATAATTTATTAAAGGAAATGAGACTGTTTGCATGTTTGTGTAAAAGCAGGGACCTAACGAAGTAGTTCTGTATAGATCTGTAGGAACATCCATTGGAAGCATGTAGTGTGAAAAGTAAACCATACTGTAGAGAGTTCACAATGAGATTCTGTGTAACTGGCTATGATCCTTGGGTAGAAATTTGCAATACACCTACAATCGGATAATTTTTTAAAAAAATCCTAAAGATGTCTCACTTGTGCAGAACTGCCGAAAACTGACCCACTTTCTTTTGGCAGGTAGAACCTCTAGGCTTTTAAGTGTAAGAAACATGTGGTATGTAGAACTTCTAAAGGTGGAACCATCTCCATCACTAGATCCTGGCTCTAGAAAAAAGTGTGAATTGTTCAGTTCACCCGTGATGACCTGAATGTGACTGAAACATTCAGAATCCCACCTACACCTGTCGGCATGGCATGCCAGCTCAGAGATTCTGGGAGTTGTAATCCAAACAAGTACTTTTTAAGCTTGTGTCATAACCCATTAAAGGCTCTGCTAGAGGAAAGGTGGTGGTCCTAAATAGCAGTGCCAATTGTACATCACATTATACAGTGGGTACACACCCTGTTACATGAATACAGTACTATATATTGTACACAGGCAATGTTAAAAATTTCTCATTTACCACTTTAGGATAGAAAGTGGATAATGCTAATTTCACTGCCTAGCCCCCTCAACTATTGAACATTCTTATACTGGCTCAAGCAAAGTCACTTTCAAAAAAAATCTTCATTTGGGTTCAATGGGGTCTTTCAGTAACCTCTGGCATTCCTCACAGGCAAGGGGTGGAGAAGCTGGAGTCCCTAGACTCTTATTAGTTTATAGCTGGAAATACCCCACTAGATAGTTGGGTATAAATGAATGAATGAATGAATGAATGCGCCAATATATTTAATGTCAGGGATGATGGGAGCTGTAGTCCGGCACCATCTGGAGGGTTGCTAGTTTTCCACCCCTGCAAAAACAGCCTGTCCCCCATAGTTAACCAGTGGTTGAAACTGCGTTGTAAACCTCTCCCAGGCTTCCAGTTTCCACACACATCAGATCAACAAAACAAGGAAGAAGGAAACTAGTTCCACTCATCAAACATTGGCTACTTCTATAAGGCTTCTCACAATTACACCCCCCCTTCCTTGTCACCTTCACAATTTTTCAGCACCCTTCTCATCATAACCAGAGGACAGACAGCAATTAACCACCCGTGTGGGGAGGAGGGCTGCACATGATCAACCATGCTTGGTGGCTCAGTCTGTTGGTTGTTGCCATGGTTACAAAAAGCTAGTGGAAGCCAGTGAGCGGTCTGCAGCACTGCTGAAAGCCCCAGCCATTTTGCCGGGGGGGGGGAGGTTTGAAGAGAGTAGCATATTATGCTAGGCTTTGCCGCGAGAAGTAAACAAAACGAAATGAATATGTTGCCTGCGGGGGGGGGGCGGCAGATTCCTTGCAAGGAAAATAAAGAAAGCAGCGTATGAAGCACTAATTAATTGAGCAGGGAAGACTTCCAAGCTGCCATTTTGACAAGCCGGCCGGCTCTGGCTCCCACTCACTGGGAAAAGGTGGAATGCAGCGGGAGGGACGCGGCAATAGCTCCGGTCTCGGGCAGCCGGGCTTCCCGGCTTTGTGTGTCGGGGGGGGCGGAGGGGGGGAGTGCGCGCGCGGGTATTTGTGCGCGCGTGCCTGCATGTGCGCCTCTTGGAAAGGCGGGGGGGGCGGGAACCGGGAGAGCGCGCGCGCGCGCGCGCTAGTAAAGCCCTTTCTGCGCTGTTATCTCGGTCTTTCGCCCGTTGTTCTCCGAGTGCGCACCGGTGACCCAAGCGAAGGGTGTTGCCCTCTGCTCGCCTGGAGCTTGCCCACGGCCGCCGTCGGTGGGTGAGAGGGAGCCGACACACGCCGCCGGCTGCGGAGGGCGGGCGGGCACGCAGGTGTGTGGAGCTCGAGACGGGCTCTTGTCTTTTGCAAGATCGGGGGTGGGGAGGGAAGGAAGGAGAGACGGGGAAACGGAGCACCCTCACTGAGGTTTGTGTGTGTACACATTTCCTATTAACAGATTGCCGGCTTGGGAGCATCTGGCTGTGGATTTAGTCCGGGGGGGGGGGGGGGGGGGGGGGGGTGTTCCCC